ACGCAGGTGGTGCTGCGATAGGCAGCCTAGTGTGCCTAGCACACATGGCGCGCTTAGCACACCATGGTGCGCCTAGGCTTCCATGAGCTAGCCTAGCCTAGCTACGGCTATGCGCGTACTTGTAACTTGATTGATTTCGTGTCTCGTCGAATTCTAAATTCGACTTGATTTGCAACGCTCGGTCTCGACGCTCTAAGCTCGATATCCGACGTCTTTGTTCGTAATACTCTAACGACTCATCTAATCCTTCGGATTGATTCGTCACCTCGGATCGGTTACTCGATTGGGTGTGACCCGAAGGGTTCAGTTAAGATTAAGCTGTAATATTAATTGTATATTAATATTACTGATCGGAAGCGGCCTCCACCTAGACATTCCGATCACTTGACCTTACTGAAGAATAAGCTTTCCGATAATTCTGAACCCTCTATCGGAATAATACACTTGTTGGAAGGACACCATTCCTTTCAATGTTAACAATTGATTCCCAATCTTTCCATTACCCTTGTCATAGTGAACCATAGTCATAAACCTTAGTAATTAATAGTTTCCCAAGTTATTTGCATTTTTTAGGAGTTTCATTAGCTTAATTAATTACAACTCCCAAAAGCCCTTTTACTGGGCTAATCTTGTTTACTTAAGTAGTAAAATAATTGTTGCCTCGTGGATTCGACCCTGCTACCACATACTACATAGTTTGTGTTAATAGGTTATTTTTGGTAAGTGCACGACAACATATCAAATTTTTTGCGCCGTTGTTGAGTAGACATCACTATTCATTACTGTTAGGCCCGGTTCAATTTACCATATTTTTGTAGAACTGAAATTATTTTTACTAAATTGAAATTATTATTATTGAACAAAACTTATTTTTACTAAACTAAAATTATTTTTGCCTAACTGAAATGATTTTTACTAAATATTATTTTTTTAAGGGTAAGTAGATAGGGCTTAATTGCGTTCAGGTTATTTTTATATGTCTCGAAGAACCGATTGAAAATTGAGACCCTTATGTTCATGTAACATCTACATGCTACCCTAGAAGCGATGAAAAGTGAGACTACGACAAGAAAGATCCGAAGGACGAAGACGTGGAAGAGCCTTGGGTGGTTATAGATTCAATAATATCAACAAATATCTTGTGCATATACTCGGAAGATGAAAATCAATCTCATTTCATTCTAGACAATAATTTTTTTTCTTTTTTTTAATGTGTTGTTGCGAAACTTTATGTTATTAGGCCAGTGTGCCCTTCTTTTGTAATATATGATGTATGTACCTTCAATGTAGTTGAGTCCTTACATAATAATGCATTAAGAAAATGATTGCTAACTACCGGTGGAAATTTTGAGCCATCAATTTATATGGCCCCTGAAATATTTGTCTAGATGTGGAAGAAGAACGGTCGATTGAATGAAGGTTTGATAATATCAGGAAATGTCTGTGTTACTGTTTATGGTTTAGGATAGTGAAAATTCAAACTCATTTTTATGTGAGACAATAATTATCTTGGTCGTGTAGACGTGTAGTTGCAACTTGTTCAATTATGAGATGACCCTAGTTTTGTATGAGAGGTTTGTACCTTCAATGTACTCGTTAGGGTCAGTACAATATTAGTTATATTACATAGTGCATCAAGGAATTAATCCACTATGGGTGTATGGCCCCTTATCCTCAACTACATACCAACAAGAATTGAACCATAAAATTAAGAGTGGTTGACTATTTGCCTATATATTAAATAATCATTTCGCACTTGCAAATAATTCATGACGATCGTCATGCCTAGGGTAGTAGGGTTGACCCGGGCTAATCGGCATGGTGGCATTATGCTAAACTTAGTCACACAAATCTATTTGAAATTGTAAATGGTTGACGATTTAACATAAGCCATACTGATGTAGTGATGTCATAAGAATTTCTTTCAAAAAAAGGATATTTTAATCTGATTGTTGGGAAATTTTGTTTGTCGGTTTAATAAATTGTTGATCAATAATTAAAAATATAATGGTACAACTTTAAAATAACACTACAACTAAAGTAGGGAGTAGGGTAGATGAACATGAGGGAGATTGTGAGAAGCTAACGGCGTACATAGACTTGGCCAATTTTCACCTTCAATGTACTAGTTGTTTTAGTGACATGTATTTGTGAGTTTTGAATTGCAATATGAACCCAACTCAAAAGAATTTGTTAAGAGAACATGACCTCTATTTCCACGGACATTGCAACAGCAACTAAGCATACACATGCAGACATTCATGATCCCAATCCCCAAGACATGCATAAATTAAGACAAGGTTCACAGCTTTACAAAAGGTCAAATGTTGCTTTGATCAAACATGTATCATCTTCACCAATATATCCTAAATAATACGGTAGTAAGTTAGTAACATAACATGTCACTGCACAAAAAAAGCCTTCAAATACTAAAACTATGGTCTCCTTCATTACCCAATGTTAACAGTTTCTGATTGACTAGTATAGAGTGATAATTGAAATGTGTGAAGAAAAGAAAATGCATGCTTCAAGATGGAGAGAATATTCACCGATGAAAGCAAAATAAAGAAATTAGTTGGCATCATGAAATTGCCCTCACATGTTTGCTGATGATTTATTCACCACTTAGCCTCATTCTACAATTGATCTTGTCTCAAATTCTCAATGCAAGCAAGCAAGCAAACATGAGTTCATCTTCTGTCACCTAAAAACTAGCAACAAAATCACTAGCTTCCCGAAACTTGAAGTTTACATAGTAATATTATAGACAGAAGGCTAGGCGAGTAACAATAGTTGGAACACTAAGTTATAATAGGCCACTGCACAAAAATGCCATCAAAAACTAGTAATATGCTTTGTTAGTTGTTATTTGCTGCACTAAAAATATCGACACATAGAGCTGCTAAAGTTCTGTAACCATGATTTCACCTCTACTTTGAACTTGTGTCATTGGTGTACTAGGTAAGGCGACCGGAGTAAGATTGGGCATTGTCTCAGAGGAATCACTTGATAAACTATGAGGCATCAACTCTCTATCTTCTTGTCATTGATAGCATCCACCTTTAGCCAGGAACGATAAAGTAAACAGATGTTAAACATGGATGCCAAATTGGACCGATGTTCAGCAAGAGAAACAACTAAAAACTTTGAACATATTCTCTATAATTAATGTTTGAAGCTACTTTAGAAAAGGAACACAATATATCATCCAAATGGAATGTATGCAAACATAAATTACAACTTTGTTGCAAATTACATGTGATGCAAAAATAAAAAAAAAAAAAAAAAAACCTACCAAAAAATATATAATGCCTACTGCAAATACTAAATACTTTTGATAAGCTGCTTATATTTGTTAACAACAATCTTCATGTTAATTAGTACAAATGACAACAAAAGACTTAGCTTAAATTTTGAACGAAAGACAACTTCGTCCATACAATATAGTCCAACACCTTTGCAATGTCAATCAAGGAATAATTTGAATTGATGTTAATCAAAGAATAAAACAAGTCAGAAGCACAAAAATAATAGTGCATTAAACTATAGCTATCTACAAATACTAATTAACCATTCTCTTATAATCAATTTACATAACCCCGGGTAAACAAGTAATTACTCACCAATCATTGGCAACATCCATATCCTTTCCCTTTCAAACTTCTCAGCAGAGAGAGAAAGATAGGAATAGAAATCTGAAGAGATAAAATAGGCCTTTGCCAACTAAAAAGTTAAAATATCTACTCACCATGAGAAAGAATTGTGGATAAGTCCATAAAATCTGCATAGTTTATTGCCCTAACAGAAAAGGTAAAAAAATAAATTAAAATAAGTCAATTATCGAACTTTTTTTAAAACAATTAAGTTATGTCACTTACTGCTCACACATGCACAGGCAATAAAACATGTTTATGTAAAAGTCAGGAAAAATCTTTGCGAGATCTGCCTCGATCTTTTCATATGTAAATCTCTACCAAAAAAAAAAAAAAAAAAAAAGATTGTTATAGAGTAAATTGAAAGGTATTTGGGAAGTAAAAATGATAATGAATAACAAACTAAAACAAAAACTCAAACCTTGCGATTTCGAGCAACTTTGTATTCATACTCATTTACATGAGTATAAACAGCACCAAAATACAGCACGATATCAATTTCCGTTTTGTATCTTTTGGTCGTTTTGCGTTTTGAAGCCTGATCATATACTAACCGATACACACCAACAAGACCGACCCACCATGTGCGGTGATAATGATGCTTATTAAGCATTTTACGAAAAGGGCCAGAGATAGATGTTTGTTTAACAAACTTCCTTAGTCGAAACGTAAAATCTATCTTTTCTGCTACATTCCAAAAATACGGATGATCAATAAAGAATTCCAGTGGAATGGACCTGTGAACACAAAAGGAACATATAATTAAAAAAAATACGGATTTCAAACCTACAAGGAGAAAAAAAAAATCTTCTTTATGACAAGTATACAACAAAAAAAGAGTGTAAATTAAACACTTACAAATTAAGAGTACTTAGTTGGAAAAAATGTTTCAAATCATGAGGGAGAAAAGACAAATCACTCTGGTGAGGAATAGGGAGTTTGATCACACTCTTCATCAAATCTACCAATGATATCAAGTCTTGTTTTTGTTTCGCCGTTTCCATAGATGGAAGAATTCGACCTTCTCCTTCAGAAGTGACAAAGGCACTAAACACCAGATGGCCACATGATTTACCGCTCACGAACAAGTGCATAAGCCCCCGAATCACACCTCTATATTTTTGGGAAAACAACATATACATTACTAACATTACTCCCTCGGTTTGTTTAACGGTGAAACTTTAACTAATACTAAGTAATATTTTTAATTATCAATAAGTAATATGTTAAACAAAATTGACATAGACAATTATAACAAATTCTCATAACTATGCTTTATCTTATGTATAAAAGTACAAACATTGGTTAAAGTAATGTATGTAAATAATGCAAAAGTTAATTTAGGATACTTAAAGAAAACTTAGGGAGCATAAACTATAATATAGGGCTGTTCTAATTTGATATGGAAAATTTCTTGAACTTGTTGTGAACTATAATCAATTCATAGTCGAAGGACATCAATATAACTAAAAGATATATGATTGGAACATAGCAAAATCTAAGTGATCATCCATCTCAAAGGTGTCCTGATGATTAAAAAACAAAACACTTGCAATTGACATGAGACATTTTTTTTACAGTGAAAGGAGAACTTTTAATATCTCGAAACATACAAGTATTATTTGACATCTTATTCTTTTGAGTTGAATTAAAATGGACTAAACTAAAACAAGTCTAAAGAAAAAGAGTCTTTTTACTTTTAACCTTTTAGCTAAGTGAAAAAAATCAATCCTATAACATATATCAGTACTAGGTTACTAAACAGTACAGACTACTTGTTCTATTCAATTTATTCTTAACTTACTGTATTTTTTCAAAAGTTTCAATTCCTTAATAAAAAAAATAAAAAAAAATTAAAAAAATCGATAGTCAAGCACTATTTTTGCTTACTCTACCAGCAAGGCCTACGTGAAAACAAATCAACAATTTACAAAGCAAGTAACTAAAGGTAAATATTCAGATTACATTTTCAAGTCCAATCTAATATTGATCTTACTTTTTACTACAAGTACTGTTTAGTAAATCTATTCATGCAAAAAAAAAAAAAAATTGACAAATTTGCACCTAATTTAAGACTTAAAAACTAACAAGATATCTATATGCTACAATGTTAGTTAATAATTGGTAATTTTAATACTTTATTTTTAAGGAGAAAATTATTTGGAACTGTGTGAGATTTAGTAGAGATTCTCTTAGCCGACGAATACAAGTTTAATTAGTGACGGTAAACAAATTATTTCTAAAAACCAACACAATATCTCTAAGATAGACAACATAAACCTTTAAAAAAAAATCCACCTGAACACTTTCCAGAACACATCTTTGATAGCATCCCACCAAGCTTCAACTGATTCTTGTGATTGCGGAGGTAATTCGCTCAACTTACGCTTAAAAAAACATTCAATGCTGCACACTTCTTCACTTGTCAAAAGCATACGCCTATCATCCTCCACAATCTTAAAGCTTTGATCAATCTTCAGGAAGTTCTCATGAGTAAGACATAACTGAACGAGTTCTTGAATATTATCAATATGAGATTGCTCGGCTTCAATAAAAGATTTTCTGACTTCTGTAGTGTTAATCTTTGTAGACCCCATACAAGATTTTTCATCTAGCTCCTCCATGGTAACATAAAGAGTCATCTCAAACTGCAAATAAAATAAAGTTGTTAAAGCATTGGTAAGAAAGAACAAAAATAATTGTTCCTGTTACCGTTCCAATTAAAAAGGGGGGGAATAATCAATGATGGAGTGAATAGTATGGTCAAAAAGAGTGAAATGCATGTTTGATAACTAGAACAGTTCGTGCAAACAAGAGCACCCGAGGTGAGATTGCGTCAATTCCCTTTATTTTTTATTCTTTTTAGGCAAACGAAAACTAAAACAATTAGATTTCAATTCTATTCAAGGTTAAGCATAGGCTCCATACTGGTTACAAAACTACCTTTATAGAATAGAAAGGCAGGGAAGGGGTTTCAAAGTTTCAAAGTAAGCAACTAATAATAATGGGTTGTAAGCGTCGACTACATTTTTAAATTTATGTATTTTAATTCAGCAATTAATTAAGAACCAAAAACTATTTACTTGTACTTATCGCGATTAATTATAAAAATTAGTTGATAATGTTACTCGTAAATAACTATTTAAAATATCAATTACATACTTTAATCACAATTAATTATGTTAAAATATAGGTCCTCGATCGTAGGGGATGGAGGAGGAAAATCTATGTGAATGACCACACGAAACGATCAATTTTGGTTCATATAGCCGACCCTAATTTTTTCTTTTGATTGATTAATTGAATTACGGTACTCCGTGACTAGTAACAACAATAATAATTGATTAAATATCACATGATATTATTATCTTGAAAATTATGTATGAATTATAATTTTAAAAACAGAAAAATAAAATGAAGTAAATAATAACATGAATCTTTTTCATTGGGTGCATTGTTAAGGAGAAGAAATGAAAAGGGTTTGCTTAGGAAATGTGAATTAGAGAGAAAACACGAACCATTTATGTTGGGAGGAAGTTCTACATGCCTTGTGTCTCAGGAATTATATGTGGTGGCCTTGTCACTATTGAATTCTCCATTATAACTCTAATAAAGTTTAGAATATTCCTCCACATGTGACCAACTAAAGATTTATGTTGCTGAGTTTTAATTTATAACCTTGGAATGCAAACCAAAATCGCAAATAACAGGTAATGTAGTTAATTTGTTTGAGGAAAAAATGACCAAATCGCCTTCTATTTTGTGTTATAAAATATCTCATTTGCATACCAATAATACTTTCTAAGTTTAGGGTAATGGGGGTCTGCGTGTCACTTAAAGGCTTGTTTTGACGTCAAAATTGTAAAAAAATGATGTTTTACGTGTTAAGAAACAACTCAGCTTGCGTGCTAGAGTTTTAAATTCAAACATGATATAAAAAACCCGTTAGTTGGTCACATCGAAAAATAATTCCAAACTTTAGGGCTACAACGGAGAATTCAATTAGTGACAAGGCCACCACGTGGAGTTTCCCAATACATAGGGCCCACAATAAGTTTCGCTTTTTTTTTTTTTTATTTACTCAATGTTAGTAATGCTCTTACAAACATGTTTGTTCTAAGTTCTAACTAGTTTTATTTTCATAATATAATAGATTGCTAAATAACAGAATCTACCATCCGCGATCTTCTTTCCTCGACCAATTTTGATCCGCTTTCCTTCTCTTCTTTTTGTTCCTCCAAAACCATTCCATCCGACTCATCTTCTACCTCCACGGCTTTCTTGACCACTAAGATTTGTTTTCCTTTGCTCTTTCCTTTTTTCTTAGCTTTTCTCTTTGGCTCCACAACGATCCTCGCATCCTCCTCAGCCAAAAGTTTTTTGGCTATTTTTATAATCACAAACTAAACAAGATTAGTAATCTAGAGATTTTTCGATATTGTCCACTTAAATTATATAAAAAAAAACGCTAGATGTATCTAGAGGCGGGATTTAATTAATCAATTCAGTTGTTGGTCGAACTAAACACAAAAATCACTTGACTCCTATTAAGTTGAATTCAGTTCTTTTCTCAACCAGAATTGTTTCAGTTCCAATATTTCGGGTTTATTTTCAGAGCACCACTATTAATTATCATTCCAATTCACTACAGTTGAATTTGTTTTTGGTTTCAACCATATGGTTTCCGTTCCAACAATTCACCATATCATTATCTTAATAGTTTGGTCGGTAATTAGAATCAACAATAACGAAAAGGCGTATAATGATCAAAGTTAGAGCTGGCAATCGAATTAATTGGACCGGATTCAAGCCAGACCATTAAATCTAGTACATTAGTGATTAATTTAATTCTAGGTCGTATACCTTGAAATCAGTTGTATTCGAAAGCACTTTTAGGAGTCTGAAAATATAATCTGCCACAGAGCACATGACAATGTCATCTTGCGTAGATGCATAATGGTGCATGGTGGTAATCGAAAAAATCAAGGGTTGTTCAAGTTTCTAGTTGAGTTAGAGACGAATATGAGATGGACTAGTGACTACACATCATTACTTTTATCATATGCGATAATGTCTAAAATTAGAGTGAAAATGTAGGTTACAATTTTCACTCTAACTTCAAGTAGTCTTCTATTCCTATTAGGCCATAATTTATTAATCCTATGGTCATTTGACTTAGGTGGGAAATTTCCTCCTAACTTCTACTAGTCAAATTTATTTTTTATTCATTTCCTCCTTTCCCCCATAATTGTATTAGAGTAAAAAATTTAGATTGGAATTTTCCCTCATTATAGGTTTCTACTTTTACAGATTAAACCAAAGAAAGAAAGGGCACTTGCAAATAATAAAATCTGGAATTCTTGGTTCTCATTTCTCAAAGCCTAAAGTCCTAGACCAAAGAAATATCATACCAGTATATCCTCTTATTCCTCTAGCTCTCACTCACTGAACTTCTGAAACCTCAAAGAGGAAATCTCTAAGTATGATTTTTCATTACAATATCAACTTCTCAATTCTCAATTTAAATATTGCTAATTTTCGTGAAGTAATAAGGTGACAATTTTTGTGAAGTATTTAAATTACAAATTTACAATTCTAAATTACAAATTTACAATTCATATTCAATTCAATTTAATCACTTTGAAACATTGTTGATTAATTTCTTTTAGTTTAAGTTCACATTACCATTTCTTTCGGCTTTCTCCGCTTCTTGTTGTTGAACAAGCAACTGCGTTGCTTCTTGTGCCGCACTTTGTATATCATCCTGTATTTCTGGTACAGCTTCATGCGGTGCAAGCTCTCTTTCATCCTTCATTCTTTTTACCTTATCAAGCATGTTTTGAATCTTTTCCACCAAAGATTGCTTTCTATTACCTTCAGCCAAATCCAATCCTTTAGTAAAGTAAGGAATTGACTCCTGCAGCTTTCCTGAATCCATCATACTAGTCCTATAGCAAAAAAAAAATACAAAACACATCAGATGATAAGCCATTATCCCTTGTGCTCATGAGCTTTAAATCCAAGGTTTATAGAAATTTTAACTAATGAAACAAAAACAAAGTCCTTGGCTTGGGCTAATATCATAATTAGAATAGTAGAAAGAATGAGAAAAACAAATCTTACCCCATGATATATGCTGTTTCTGCATATGCAAATAGTTTTTTGACTTTCCACTCCCGAGCAATCTTCCAAAACTCTATAAAATTAAATTAAATTTCAACACCAACAACAACAATAACAAAAGGTAGATCAAAGATAAAATAAACTCACCTTCCATATTCCCTTGATTATGATGAACTCGCATCTGTAGCTCTAAGAAAGGAAATTTGTATTCAGCCGGACATGTTGTAGTAGTCAATGACAAGGCGGCTTGTACCAAATTATAAGAGATGAGGTTATCTACCACATACTCTAATCTATCCTCTCTTCGTACAGGTACGTCCAAATTAGGAAACACAGAAGTAAAGATATTGAAAATCGTATCAACATCAACGTGCACAGCGCCCACGTCCACAGAGGTACCTTCCAAACATTTTACTAGACGTTTGGCTACTAGCTCTAGAGCATCAGCAGGCCTCTTTTTCTTCTTGTAACTTGTAAGACCCCTTTCGAAAAGTTTATATTTTGATGAAGAATCCATTTTAAAAACAGCAGTGGCGTATCCTGTTCGAATTCAATACATTAGTTCAAATTCAGATCACAGCGGATAATTCATAATTTAACACAACGGATTACACATAGAAAAATGAAAATTCATATTGAGAGGAATGTGTGTTATGGATCCACTTGGTGGTACGGTCCAGCCCATAAAAGTGTACACAAGGAGGCCCAAACCAAAGGGGCACAACAACGGTCAGCTAGGAGGGTCAATGATGAGGACAACAAGTTGAGTCAATCTCAACAAAGAAGAAGGGACAAAACTCATTAAGAGAGTATTAGGGAAAGCAAGCAACTAGTTTCATTTATGTCTAAGTATGGTTTTGCTATTTTAGTGTTAAGAGTCACATGTGTTATCTTAAGTTGTTCTTGTGTCTTAGAAAGCTTAGTATAAGTAAGTGTGGAATGTATTAGTCAACTATCCAGAAATTGTGTTAGAAACATTTGAGAGTAGTGGCCTAAAGCTACCATGAGATTGATAGCCTCAAGCGATTAGTTATCCCTTGTAACCTTTGTTTAGTCCAATTAATCAATCAAGTAATCAAGCTTTCCCCTTAATCTTGCCATTAATTAGTCTAATCTTGCTGTGAGAAACCCGATCTCTTACAACTTGGTATCAAAGCGAGTCGATCATGGTGATGACCCTAATGCAGCGGGTAGACGCGGTGGATGGGAAAATCGAGGAAGTCAAGTCCAGGCTAACCACGATTGAAGAGAAGCTAAATAATCAAGAGGTTGCCATTGGTCGTGCAGTAGCAGAGGCAATGAATCGAACCATGGCCGACGACTAGAAAGCCATGACTAAGTAGTTCACGGCGTTGTTCGAGGCGGAGAGAGAGAAGTAGAAGGAAGGGTGGTGAGGCTATAAGGGAGAATCAACCGTTTCCAGAACGACCAAGAAGTTCGGGCAAACATGGTGGCAAATGAGAATGATAAGTTCAGAGAAGAGATGAGGACCTCGGGGGTGGATCGACGCGGAGCAGTTTAACGGCGGCAAAAATGGTCGTTGGAAGCACAAGAAACTCGACATGCCCACCTTCAAAGGGAAAGACCCCGATAATTGGGTCATGAGAGCGAAAATGAACTTTGATTTTTGCAGTCTCTTGGAGGAGGATAAGGTGACGGCGGCGGTGGTCACCATGGACGGAGTCGCGCTACAATGGTATCATTGGGAGAATAGGCGAAAGCCGGTGACGGGGTGGGCAGACATACGGACTAGGGTCTTGAAGGAGGCACCCTCCAAGAGCAGTGGCTTGCGATTACCCATACGGCGTCGATTGAATAATATAGGAGTAAGTTCATTAAGTTAGCATTTCCTTTAGAAGATATTCCAGAAGATCTAATGAGGGGGCAATTTATAAATGGCCTAAAAGAGGAAATTAAGGCTGAATTGAGGCTTTTGGATCCGGGTTCGTTAGAACGGGCCATGAATCATGCCGGGGGATCGAGGAAAAAATGGGTTCGGATATTGGCGGGGTGGATCGAGTTAGTCCGAGTGTAGGAGGAAGTAAGGTGGCAGGAGGCCTGATCCAAACTTATGGGTTGCCCACCAATACGAGGCCTGCAAGAACGTGGCCTAAGCTACTAGAATCACAAGGATCGGTAAATTTGGGTCGGCCCAATGCAAGCCAGCCCTCCTAATCAATTGCTAAACCCAAAAGGTTAACTGAATTTGAAGTGGCAGAACGTAGAGCTAAAGGTCTATGTTTTCGATTTGATGAGACGTGGGGTGTATGGCATAGGTACAAGCGTAAGGAACTTAGTGTGTTGATGGAAGCCAAGGAACCCGAGGAGATGGTGGACGATGGTGTGGAAAGTGTAGAGGAGGAGGAGACCGTGGAGATATCCTTGTGTTCGATGGTGGGTATTTCAAACCCAAAAACCATGAAACAAAAGGGGTCATTCGTGGGAAGGAGTTGATTGTCATGGTGGATCCCGGGGCAACACACAACTTTGTGTCTCTTTCGGTAGTAGATGAGTTCGGTTTGCCAAGAGAGGAAGGATGGGAGTTTGGAGTGGCATTGGGTGATGGTGAAACCGTAAGAGGCCATAGGATTTGCCGAGGTGTGAAGCTTTGTTTGAAGGGTGGTGTGACATTGGTGGAAGACTTTCTACCCTTAGGGGCTTGGAAATGCCGACATTATTCTCAGGGTACAATAGTTGGAGAAGCTTGGTGCGGTCACTACTAATTTAAGACTAACGTGATGAAATTCACCATTGCCGGCATACCGTTGACATTAGTAGGCGACTTCTCCCTAGAGAAAACACAAATTTCCCTTAAAGCCATGATTAAGGGGTTGTGCAAGAACAAGGGTTGGTTGTTAGTGGAGGTCTAACCACATTGAAGCGGAGGTGATGCCGCAAGGGGGCAGGAAGGTGCCGGATTTTTTGGAGGGAGTAGTAAAGGAGTATGGGCTTCTAAGTATGTTGGGCTTCTAAGAAGGAACACATTAAAAAGATGGGGTTAAGGAGTAGTTGAGTAGTAGAATGTTAGGGCTTCTAATAAGGAACACATTAAAAAGATGGAGGTTACGGAAATGCGCATGTTAAGGTTGATGTGTGGGAACACTCTAAGAGATAGAATTAGAAATAAGGTTATTCGCAAGAAAGTAGGTGTGGCAGGCATTGCAGAAAAACTAAAAGAAATTTTTATACACTGGTTAGGCCATGTAAGACGGAGACCCGAGGATACACCGGTTCAAAGAGTGGGACCATAGAGGGGTTAAATGAGGGAGAGGGAGACCGAAAATAACATGGTTGAAAGGAGTTAGGAAAGATATGGATTTGCAAGAGGATGAAGCATTGGATCGTAAGGGATGGAGGAGGAAGATTCATATCGATGACTACACGGAATAATTAAATTTGGTTCATGTTAGCCGACCTACTTTGGGATTAAGGCTATGATTGATTGATTGAGTAGAGGAGTATGGGGCGATTTTCAAGATGCCCGGAGGGTTGTCATCTAATAGGGGGCACGAGCATGCAATTACACTCAAGGGTTGTCGTGAGTGTTCATCCCTATAGATATCCCACAAGTCCAAAAGGATGAGATTGAAAGGCTCATCCAAGAGATGTTGGATGCGAGTTCCATTCGGCCTTCGACTAGCCCATTTAGTAGCCCGGTGCTACTTGTGAAGAAGGACGGATCTTTGCGGTTTTGTGTAGATTACCGGGCGCTTAACTAAGAGACGGTGCCCGATAAATATCCCATTCCGATCATTAACGAGCTGCTTGATGAGTTGCATGCCATTTTCTCATAGTTGGACTTAAAGTCCGACTACCATCAAATTCGAAGACATTCACAAGATGGTGTTCTGTACTCATGAGGGTCACTATGAGTTTTTAGTGATGCCTTTTGGGTTAAGTAGCGCCCCGGCCACTTTCCAATCCCTCATGAACGATGTGTTCAAGCCATACTTGAGGAAGTTTGTGTAGGTTTTCTTTGATGATATTTTTATCTATAGTAGAGATGATGAGGAGCATGTGAGATTAGTGTTGAGCAAGCTAACCGAGCTAGTCTGTATGCCAATAAGAAAAAGTGTGAGTTCGGGTGTATGAAGGTAGCCTACCTTGGTCTCATCCCTACTGTAGATCAAAATATCATTAACGAAAACCAACACAAACTTCCTCAAGTATGGCTTGAACACATCGTTCATGAGGGATTGGAAAGTGGCCGAGGCACTTGTTAACCCAAAAGGCATCACTAAAAACTCGAAGTGACCCTTATGAGTACGGAACGTCGTTTTGTGAATGTCTTCGGGTTTTACCTGAATTTGATCGTAGACGGACTTCATGTCCAACTATGAGAAAATGGTAGCTCCATATAACTCATCAAATAGCTCGTCAATGACCAGAATGGGATATTTATGGGGCATCGTCTCTTTGTTTAGTGCTCGGTAATCTACACAAAACCGCAAGACCTGTCCTACTTCACAAGTAGCACCGGGCTACTAAATAGGCTAGTTAAAGGCCGAATGATACCGGCCATCCAACATCTCTCGTTTGAGCCTTTCAATCTCATCCTTTTGGACTTGTGGAAATCTATAGGGACGAACACTCACGGGGTTGCTACCTCCCTCGTGTGTAATTGCATGCTCGTGACCCCTATTAGGTGGCAACCCTCCGCGCATCTCGAAAACCATCCATACTCCTCTAATACTCCCTCCAAAAAATCCAGCACCATGTTGCCTCTTGCGGCATTACCTCCGCTTCAATGTGGTTGATCTCCACCAACAGCCATCCCTTGTTCTTGCATAACCCCTTAATCATGGCTTTAAGGGAAATTTGTGTTTTCTCTAAGGAGGGGTCGCCTACTAATGTCACCGGTATGCCGGCAATGGTGAATTTCATTAGTGAGTCTTCCAATTAGTAGTGACCGCACCAAGCTTCTCCAACCATTATACCCCGAGAAGAATGTCGGCATTTCCAAGCCCCAAGGGTAGAAAGTCTTCCACCAATGTCACACCACCCTTCAAACAAAGCTTCACACCTGAGCAACTCCCGTGGCCTCTCACGGTTTCACCATTACCCAACGCCACTCCGAACTGCCCTATCCAAAGGGGTTGGCTCGGTGTTAGACTGCTAGTGGTGGTTGACCGTCTATTAAAAATATAGCCACTTTATTGGATTAAAGCATCCTTTAACGCCTTGAAAGTGGCGGATTGCTTTGTGAAGGAGGTGGTTCGATTGCACGGTTTTCCGGCGACGATAGTGACCAAACGAGCAAGGTGTTCATGAGCATTTTGTGGCGAGAATTGTTCCGATTGCAAGGAACCCACCTCAAGAGAAGCACCGCCTATCATCTGCAATCAGACGGTCTGTAATGCACCAACCAAGGCCACCCATTGTGTACACATACAGCAGGAGGAGACAGCAGCAGAGGGGCGTTCACAACACACAACAGCAGTAAGCAACAGAACAGTAAGGCTACATGACATCCTTGTATGTATTAGCATTATTTTGACAGCTTATGGACGAGGACAAAGTAGTGGTTGTAGCAATTAAGG